AGTATGTGCCCTTTTGCGGCAAATCTAGTGTGGCCTCATCAGACTTGTTATTTACCGCGAACCGTCTCTTCCGATCGGCTGATCCAACTTGGGCCTCCAATCCCCTCATTGTTATCGCTAACTCTGCCTTCCTCCAATCTCCTGTTCATTAGATTTTTCTCCCTAAGTATGGTAATGGCTTCCCTTATCTTCCACTTCCTTGTGTTGTCACCATATGGGGCCCTTTTTTCTATTGCCTTCAAATTGATCTCGTGTACAGAATGGGCGATGTGTTCCGCTAGTGCTGATCTTTCGGTATCCATTCTCCTACAGCGCCTCTGATGTTCCTTGATTCGTGTGCTAATTTTCTCCCTGTTTCGCAATATATTTATGTTCTCGGACGCCGCATGATATACAGTAAACTCCTGAACAATCCAATTTATCTACCCTTTTATGTTGCTTCAATGAAAAGTGTTGATTTCTCTTTCATGGCCACCTGAATATTCCATTTACTCAATATTAGCCGTAGTTTTTGAGTTAGTTTGAATGAAGGTAGGCATATCCACTTTTGGAAATCCTTCATCGTCCTTACTGTTCTTTCATAGTCCACGTTCTGCCATCGGCTTTTCACGGCCTGTATATTTCTTTGTATCACTTCACTTGGGTAGTCATTGCCGAGGAATATCATCGTCAATTTGTCCAGCTCCTCGCCCTAGAATTTTATATCCGTTAGGCGTAGGCACCCGATGATCCTGCTCCTCACTATTCCAATCTTTAGATATGAAGACCAAGATAGTGTGGCATTTTGTGTGGTCGTAGCCTTATCAAAACAAGTAGAACCAGGGCAATCATGAGTTGGCACACAAGAGACTAGGACGTAGGAAGTGATAGACATCGTATTACAGATAGAAATGGGAAAGACGCTGTGGAGACAAAAGCTATTTGGCTAACAATAGACGTGTTTGATCATACACGTGATACTTGAATAATGGTTATTGTTAGCGAACTAGCTATAGTTTCCATTGTTTCTATCCTCTTTTAATCTCTAATACCAAATACATGACTTTCTATGCCCTAGTCTCTAGTGTGCCGATACACAAACGTAGTTTAACATTGAACCTAATTAAAGCAAATAGTACCATAACATTTGTGGGTTGGCACACAAGAGACTAGGGCATGGGAAGTCATAGACTTTGTATTAGAAATAAAGACAGGATAGACGAGGTGGCGATTGGAGCTAGTTAGCTGACAGTAGGTCTGTTTTAACCATCGACTTGGTCCATGTAGCAAAGGCGCGACCATGAGACTTACTCAGAGGCTTTAGCCTTGAATTAGTCACCCAGACGCAGGGGATGGCGAATTACTTCTCGAGTAGCACAGATGGGGTGGCAGGGGTCGAGTGAATTTCGTGAACTAGGGAGAGAGCAGACAGATCTTACGGGGCAAGAGAGAGACTGTGGTAAGACATAGGGAAGGAGGACTGCGTTACAACATGACAGACTCTGATCAACATTCCCAACACAAGAGTGAAGGGTACGAGTACGACAGCGTGGTGTGTGAATGGTTTTCATGAATACCGCTTAAAGGAGCACACCACGCTACATTGAAATAAGCACGGTAAAAATTGTAACAGTGACGGCGTGATAGGAGGATATAGGAAATGTGAATAGCCCAGGGGCAGAAGGAGAGATACCACAACGGTTTAGCACACGTTTGGTCAAGGAATCGGCTTCACTTATCTCTTTGACGAGTTGTTGTGTGGTGCTAAGAATGGCGAGACTCACTGACGATGCCGACTACGATGCCAGCAATACCTCTTGGAATGTACCACATCCACGGTCCGACTTTGGAAATGATCATGTATACAATGGACTCCAGACTAGGTGCGTTCCTCTAAGTCTTCCTATCACTATGACCAAGTTGCGAAAACAAGGCCGAACAACCTCTATTCCAATCTTTAGCCTGTAATTGTGATGGGATCGGAAATTGATTATTATTCCAGCAAAGGACTCCTGAACAATTTCTTTTTGAGTGTCCCATTAGGACGAATCACTTTAACGTCCAGGAACGGTAATCACTCACCTTCCTCTAGCTCCATCGTTAATTGAATTTTTCCATCAATCTGGGAAGCAACGGATGATAGGAAAATTTGGCTGGAAAGAATTCGTAAAATGGTTGCACCGGAGGATTGCTGCGGATGAAGACTTTTGGATTTTTACAAAGAAGTCCTCGGCTCCCCGTCTTGTAACCCCGATAAACCCGTGCTAATCTTTCGTCTTTACTGTCGTAACAGACATCAGATAAATAATCTATGCTTTGAGATAATGTGAAAAATAAACCAACCATAGTCACTTTTTATACATATTTCGTTGCAAGATAAATGGG